ATTGGCTGGAAACTGTGTAGTCCCAGCAGCCTCAGGTTCAATGAGTGGCCACTGTTGCAACTACAGCCACATCCCAAACAAGAGGAAGTTATGGGGCTGGGCATCACAGTCTGGTTGGCAGAACCCAGGGAGGGTCTTTCAGCAAGGCAGTTGGCTGTTTTTGAGAGGCAGTGGGTGAAAGGTTAAGGGGATGCATGACTCTTGGGTGGAGATGCCTCGAAAGGACAAGGGGGCCTTTAAGAGGTCACCCTCCACTTTGTTGACAACCGCACATACAATTGAGTCTGCTCAGCCACCCACACCTCAAGGACCCCCTCCTGATGAGGCAAAGGTAATGATAGAGGCATAATGAGGCACTTGGGTAACCAGTAATTCCCCACGCACACAGTAAAATGGGTTACAGATCAGGGGAATGCAAGATGGCAGTAGAAAGGCCACACTCCGTACATTATGAGGCTGCCCGTCTTCAAATACGCCAGCAAGATATATGCAGTGAACTGCAGTGATGTGGAAGTGCTCTCTGACATGAACAGCTCAAAGTGCTGACAGGTATTTAGGCAGGGAGCAAGATTAATTTTGTGAACCCAGGAGGCATCATTTCTGCATTCAGGCCACGTTAACTCATAACAATATCACTTTGTGAACTGCTGAGTTCAAAACTTGGCACTTGATCAGACATAATGATTCATTTTATTTGGTAAGCTGCCGTGAAAAGCAGTGATCACCAACTGTGTACAGTAACATGAGCTGGCATACGGTGTATTACCTCTGTTAAATTATCAAAGTAAAGCTGCTCATTACCTAAAAGAGAGAAATCGATACGAGTTATTAATGTGGTTATGACCATCACTACTTTATCCTAAAGTGCACAATGTCTAATATAGATTTTTCAGTTAGGAGCAAAAGTTAGTGACTTTTGAAGTTTCTACATTGTTAACTTGTTCTTATAAAGTATTCAATTTAACTTATTTTTAAACTCTTCCAGATGCTGACTGACTCTCTGTGTATTTTCAGCATTTTGGGATTTTTGCTTTCTGGGTGAGTTTGCTCTTTCTTAATCCACATTTACTGTCATTCAACGTGCTGCATCCCTTGTGGTCGGTGGTTTCTCTGCGATCGGCAACAACCTGCAATGCAGAGTGATATTGAATACAATCACAGCGCCATCAAACAGATCAATTTAACCTACGGAAAGCCAAGTTGGTTTTCGGATGTCACTTTGCACTGCTCATGCTGAACTGTCAGGACTGAGGAAATGCTGGGGACTAAATTTGTTATGCGATCAAATGTTAAGTGTGACACAGACTGCTTTAGTGACTTTGTTAAATTCCATTGGGGTGTGGTTGGTGCATGTGAGAATGATCTTTACATTAACAAAATGGTTCATTGCTTTTATGCAACTTGTGAAGTAACTGTTAGCCCCGCTTTGCAAGTTTGCAAAGGTAATACTCGTTGGAGCCTGTGAATGGTGCCATGGCATTCAAAGAGCTGTGTTGTACTTACTGAATCACAGCCACTTCGATTATAAACTTGTTTCCTCGGGACATGTTTCACTGTATGCAAAATGAAATCTCCAGCACTGGGGTCTACCCTGTGAAATTAGCTCCTTCCTGTACTTCCTGCTGTTAGACACCAGCCTCCAAATACAAGAGATTTCATTTTTCCACCCTGTCCCAAGAAGACATGCCCACCACCATGGCATTCGGTGGGAGTTTCAAAAAGGTGGTCATGTCCTGTCCCTAACATCCCTATGGATGCATCGGCACCACATGGAATGCACATTTCCAGCTCACAGTGAAAGAAATCCCAGCCAATTGAAAATTTTGACCTTACATCATGCATTATTGATTCCTGGAATTGCTGTTCACTTCTCCCTCGACAGGAAAGGGAGATCAAAACAAAACTGAATCTGTAAATGCTAGAAATCGGAAATGAAACCATAAAATATTGCAAACACTTATTGGATTGGGTAGTATCTGCAGAGAGAGAAACAGTTTTAATATTTCAGGCTGTATTTCAGTAACTACCAGGATGCTTAGGAGCATTGATACACAGAGGGATCTTGGGGTCCAAGTTCATAGTTTCCTGAAACTGGCAACACACGTGGATAAGGTGGTAAAGATGGCATATGGCATGCTTGCCATCATCAGTTTGGGCACTGGGTATAACATTTGCCAAGTCAGGTTGCAACTGTATAAAACTTTAGTTATGCCACATTCAGAGTATTGTGTGCAGTTCTGGTCCCCACACTCTTGGAAGGATGTGGAGGCTTTGGAGTGAGTGCAAAAGAGGTTTACCAGGACATTTACCAGGATTGGGGTGTATTGGCTATATGGAGAGGTTGGACAAATTTGGATTGTTTTCCACTGGAGCATTAGAGTCTGAGGGTGACTTGATAGAAGCATATCAAATTATGAGAGGCATGGGTGGAATGGAAATGTCATAGGTTTAGGGAGAGAGGTGGAAAGTTTAAAGATGTATGGCTAGATTTCTATGCAGAGGTTGGTAGGTGTCTGGAATGTGCTACCAAGGAAGGTTCTAGAAGCAGATACAATCGCACCATTTAAGAGGCTTTTAGTCAGACACATGAACAGGCAGGGAAGGGAGGGATACAGACCATGTGCAGGTAGATGGGATTATTTTAGAGTGGCATCATGGTTGGCTCAGATATGATAGGTAGAACTGCCTGTTCCCGCGCTGTATTGTTCTAGTTCTGAGGAAGGGTCACCGGACCCGAAATGTTAACTCTGTTTTCTCCTTCACAGATGCTGCCAGACCTGCTGAGCTTTTCCAGCAACTTTGTTTTTGTTCCTGTATTGTTCTAGGTTCTATGAAGCTTTGTCAGAACAGGGATTGCTTAGAAATGTTCTGTTGAAGGTTTAAAACTGAAACTTTAACCCTGCTTTATTCTGCGACAACAAGGTGTAG